TTTCGTTGGGCTCCCTTCATGTTTCCTTTCTGGGCTCCTGGGTCGGATGGGTGGGCCGCGGCCAAGAAGCTGGGCTTTCATTGGGTTCCCTTCATACTTCCTTTCTGGGCGGCTGGGTCGGATGAGTGGGCCGCGGACATGGGCTCTCATTGGGCTCCCTTCATGTTTCCTTTCTGGGCTTCTGGGTCGGATGGGTGGGCCGCGGCCAAGAATCTCGGCTCATGTTTCCTTCTTTCGGGGTCCTGGCTCCCTTCCTTTGCCCTTCTGGGCTGCTGGGTCGGATGGGTGGGCCGCGGCCAAGAAGCTGGGCTCCCGTCGAGCTCCCTTCTTTCTGGGTCCTGGGTCGGATGGGTCGGCCGCGGCAAAGAAGCTGGGCTATCACAACCCTTCTCCCGCTAAGCAACACAAGCGTCCTAAACACGACCCTTCCGCTCACCCTCCCGGTTTTTCCCATTTCACGTTGACTGACAATGGTGGTCAAGGGGATTGTGCGTACTTGGCTATTGCCATTGCTTTGGCCGACGCTAATAAAACCAAAAGCAAGACCCCTGCTGTCTCTCAAGATTTTGAGCCCGGTGGACGCCGTCAGGCCCAGCTCAGGTTGCTCGCCTCTAAGGAGCTTGCCAACAATCCTTCGCGGTATTTTGCCCCTGGCGATGACCGCGCTTCAACGGTTCCTAGCCAGACCGCCTCTGCTGGCGTGTGGGCTGATTCCGTCAGCCTTTCCGCCCTTTGCCAAGCCTCTCAAGTAGAGCTTAGGATTTGGGGGTTTAGTGCCAAGGAGAATAGGTGGGCCCTTTATTTCCTGTCTCCCTTTAAAACCACTAAGCCCAAAAGTGCCCCTGTCATTTGGCTTCATCTTAAGGATCAACATTATCAATGGTTGAAGCCTAAGGACTGCTTAAACTCCGACTTGGTTGATAGCTGGGTTCGCCATGCCTGCTATAAGCCAGCCAGTTTGCTCGGGGCCGGAGAATCCCAGTTTGACCCAGACGCGTTAGACATCATGGGTCTTTCTGTGCCATCTACGCCCGCTAAATCTGTTTGTTCCTTTCCTTCCGTGTCCTGCCGTAAGGCAAACGCTCGCAAACCCGGTCTCGATTCCCCGGTTGTTTCTGCTCAGACTCCCGCTTCTGGGACTGCTTCCCCACCTCAACTGCCCTTGCGGCTGGAAGGCGCCTCTTGGTAACAGCGCTCGTCGTTATGCCATTTCGCACTGGCGTGCTTGCCAAGGAACTGCCCCGCCCATGCTTCCGCCCGGCTGGCGTCGTGCTTTTGCTTCTCAGCAACACAAGCTTGGATGCTCGGAGACCCTTCGCAAACAGGCCGTCACCAAATTCCAAACTGGCTAGATGGGTTTAAGACCAAAAAGCCAAAAATCCTTCCCGCTTTGTGTACCCCGCGTTTTGGCGCTCCTTTAAGGATTTTACGTGGCGTCAAAAAGCCCTACGTCGCCTACCCGTGCTCCAGATGCGGAGTGTACAAGAAGTTGTGTAACTTTCAAGTTCTGTCGTTGTTCTAAGGCCGTCTCTAAAGTTTCGGTTAAGCAGTTTCTCACTGCCACTTGCTCTCGCAGCGTCGCCCTTAGGCATAAGGAGGTCTCCAAGCGTGCCTGCGCCAAACGCCGCGCTAAACCTGACAACCACGAAAAGCGGCGCGCTTACGAGGCTCTTCCCAAGGTTAGAGCCGCTCACCGTCTTGGTGAACAAAGGTACAGGGAGCGCAAAGCGATGAAATCGCGTCGCTCTTCTTGACTAGGTGGTTTTCCCTGTTTGATGCAGCTTGACCCGCTCGTCGGTGGTGCACACTCTGGTGGTTCTGGGCCTCTGCCGCATGCCGCGCCGCCGGCTGCTCCTCTCATGGTCGTGTCGGTTAACGTTACGCAGCTTACTGCTGCTCGTCTTTTCGAGGTTCTTAAGTTTGCTGGCGCCCGCGGCGCTGGCGTGGTCTGTTTGCAAGAAACTCGGCATATTGACAATGCTTCTTGGGCTCGCCGTGCTGCCTTTAATGCCGGGTGGCATTCCACTTTTTCTGCCCCTCCTCCTGCTTTTCGTCCGGGCGGTTTTGCCAGAAGCAACGGCGGTACCGCCGTTTTGTGGAGGCCTGTGTTTGGGCGTGCCTGCCCCGTTTTCATCCCGTCTCATTTGGCCCATACTCCTATGCACAGAGCCGTGGCCTTTTCCACCGCTGCTTTCACTGTGGTGTCGGTGTATGGCCATGCTCAGAAGCCCGACTTGCCGTGGATGCACCACGTCCTTTCTCAGGTTGACTCCTCTTCTAAGGCCGTTTTTGTTATCGGTGATTGGAATTGGAAGCCTTTGCACGACAGGGCCTTGCCCAGCGGGTGGAGGGTTTCCACACCTATCCCCACTACTGTGGCCCAAACTGCCATCACGCGTGCGGTGGCCAATGCCCCTGTCAGTGCTTTTTGCACGTGCTTTTTGCCTGGCATTCCTCATCACGGTGCCGTGGTCTTTTGTTGCAACACCGACGCTCCTGCGGTTATGCCTGCCGTCACGTTTCGTTTGTGTGCTGTCATTTCATGGCCCAGCCGTTCTGTAATTGCTTCTGACAGTCCCATTGCAGATCGTCTTAACCTCTTGTTTCCCCTTGCCCCGGACTGTGCCCCTATTTCCAGTAAATGGGATGCGTGGCATGTCAGGGCTGAGGGTCTGTTTTCGCTTGCCTGTGAGGCTGGACTTGCCTCTCGCGATGTCCCTGCTGAACGGCCCAAAGGCTCCGTCGCTTCTTTGCGGCCCCGTGCTCGTCGTCCTTTGCATAGATGTCAGGAAACTGTCGCCGCTCGTCGTCTGAAGCGCTTGCACCGTGCCCTAAGCGAACTTTGCCGCTCCCGCCCTAATTCCTTAGATAACCCCATCCCTGCACCTACTNNCTGCAACCGCACACTTGCTCAGAGCAACACTTCCGCCTGGAAGAAGCATTTTCGCCAGTGGTCTTCTGACATTTGGCCTGCCGCCGGCAACGCCTTGCGTCCTTCTCCCATCATTCCTTGCTTCACCGCGTCCGACATGCGTGAGGATTGGGAAACCGTTTGGTGTCCCGATGCTGTGCCTGTTCAGCCTGCTAAGGCTTGGGTTGATTTAGCTTCCTCTAGTCCTGGGTTTA